ACGTAGAAGAGAGCACCCCAGGCTGGATGAGGATTGCCCTCGAGGCCGGCCACGCGGACGTCGAGCTCGTGAAGGTGAGCCTGGATAGGGCTCGCGGCCCCCGACATCTCGGTTCTGGTCTCCTGCGCGAGGTTGGCCGAGAGCTCTTCTAAATTGCTTGCTGGGTCAGCATGTCTATCTTGTCAGACAAAGCAGCCGCGGCAGGCAAAATCTTCGCGCGGCCATCGCTGCTGGGCGCCGCCCCCGGGGTAACGGATGCTGCTCGTACCTTGTTTTTCGGCCATGCGATTCATATTGTCGCGCTTGGCACGCCCATGGCCCATGGGGCAGCGGCGGGCCTGGCTCGCCCGCCCTGGCATTCGCAATGTTCAGCTTTCCACCCGCCGTCGTGGAATCGACGCGCGGTGCAAGTCTGGGGCGATGCGCGAATGCATTGCCAGGAAGAAGCATCACAACTGACCTGTTTGTGTTCTCCTCCAGGGGTCGTTGCCCGCGGGAAGGGGGGGGGGGGCGGGGGGGTCAGCGGCATTCTCCTCCAGGGGTCGTTGCCCGCGGGAAGGGGGGGGGGGCGGGGGGGTCAGCGGCAACGGCGGCCGCGGCGCCCGCCAGGGCGGGCCCGCGCCATCGGCGCATGAGTCGCCCGCGTTCACAACAGCGCGTATTGAGGGGGGTCCAGCCCCCCCCGTTGCGCGATCGGTGGCGTTCCCCGGGCGGGTGCGCGCGCGCGTGTGGTGGTGGTGGTGGTGGGGGTGGGGAGGGGGTTGCCTGTGGGCAAAGAGCGTTGCCCCGGGCCCGGGGGAGGGAACAAAAAACGTCCCCAACGAGGCCCACCACCGAGCGCAGCATCCAAGCCCGCGGCAGCCGCGGGTCGGCAGGAGGCCCCCCTGCCCCGCGCGGACGACGCCCCTGGCCACGCCCGACGACGAGCCCTGCTCGGAATGGGCAGGACAGAGCAGGACGGGGCGCGCTCCCGCGGCCTGGGCGCGGGCCCGAGGCGGGCGGCGCGGGGGCGCCTCGGGGCGGCGCGGCCCTCGAGCAGGGAAGGCCAGGGAGCGCGTCCTCCCTCCTCCTCCTCCTCCAACTCTTCCTCCTCCCCCTCCTCCTCCTCCCTTCTCCTCTTCCTCCTCCTCCTCCTCCTCCTCCTCCTCTTCCTCCTCCTGGTCGTCTCCAGCCAGCGCCTGAATTGCCCGCCTAGCCGCCGCGCGCGGCGCTCAGGAGCCCGATGGAAAACAACGCGCGCCCAAGATCCGCTTCCCGCACGTCTGCTCGAAACGGGCCGAAATTACTCTATGACCCAGATGGCCCCTCAAAGCGGCCACTGCTTGGGCACGTCCCCGGCAGAGGGCTGCGCAAGAGCCGCGCGACTATATGGAAAGCAAGATTTGGGGTGACCAGGGCGATGGTCTTCAGACATGGTGCCCCTAAGTGCTGACACCTGTAGCACTGCTCTGGCTTGTATGCCAAATCCGCCGTGCATGCACTTATTGACATAGTGGCATCGCTCTAGATCCGTAAACGCAGATACAACCACGCTTGTATAATCCGATTCGCCCAAGTAGCCGCCAAGAAACACGCTCTAGATCTCTACCTGGTGCCGTGTTGCGCTTAGCTTTTGCGCTGTTAATCGAGCTGGTTTGAAAAGGTGCTGAATACGCAAAATTGAAGTTCCCGAAACCAGTTCCAGGCGCACATGCCACTTGTTCACAGGACCGCCAAAATCATCGTTCGAGCAGCTGCGAATTATGGTGCCTGGAAGTTCTGATGACGCCACGCGAAAACCAACTGCATCGAATTGCATGAAGGCGCCGCCCCCTTCCGCTAAGAGAGCCTGACTCCATCTGAGTTTTCCCGGTCATCGCTGTGTCTGACCCTCCCGCCGTCTTATGTCAGATCGACAAGACCTTGCGATTCAAACCTGCAATCGTCAGAAAGAGTCGTTGCAGCTCCATCGGCAAGCCAAACTATGGTTACAGATGGCCCATTCGGATGCAAGTACTCACACGAAGAAATCCATCGACATATCACTCACCATTGCGAAGCCATGAGGGTTCAAACGACTGCCTTCTCAAAGAGTGAGAGTGAAGGGGCCAAACGATCATTCATTGTCCCTGGGTGCGTGGCTACAATGAGATTCCGTGGTGAGAAAATGTTTATTGCGTTGTTGTTAGTGTTGTTAATGTTGTTGGTGTTGTTCTTGTTGCTGTTGTTGTTGAACATTATTTATTCTAAAGAATAATTATTGTTGGGCCCCCTGGTGCGCGCCCCCCCTGCGCCGCCTAGGCCGCAGCTACATTTTCATCATTTTCGTGAGGAAACCTCAGAAAAGAGGGTGTGCACAGGATCCGGTTGTTTTGTTGTAATCCGCTTTCCCTTGCAAAAAACAATAGAAAATGGCATTTCTTGTTCTAATATAATCAAATTTCAAGAATCCCTTGCAAAAAAAAAGGTAAAGTGGACATTCGCGCGCGCAAGACGAAATCCTTCCAAAACCTTGGTGTTCGCAACGATTTTAACATAAAAACATTTTTTTTTTTAAAAAAAAACCAATGGTTTTTCAACAAAAAATTGTCAAAATCTCATCCCGCGCGCTCTTGCGGATTCGTAGGAAACCCAACACTTTTTAAACATTTCTGTCAAACGGGCTTTTGCGAGCAACCTTTTCGAACTTCTGCGACAACGGTTGCGCACCTGCCAGGGCCATCATCCCTGTCAAATAATACCATGCGGGACACATTCGTTTTTTCTTCGCGCGCGCACGCCGAAATCTCCAAAAACCATTGGGCTTCTTAAGAATTTTAGCACCGCGCATCATAAAATCACACGAATCGCACCGTAGGTCCATATGCAACAGATGTTCTGTGGAAGGCTTAACAACTTCTGTGGGTTAACAAGGCTTAACAACTTCTGTGGGTGTACGAACGTAGGCTTAACAACTTCTGTGGGTGTGTACTCCACGCCAGTGTAGTAGCCACGGTCGTCCGCAGGCCACGAAGTGAAGTGTCCGAACGTCATAGGGCGGGAAGCTGGGTGTGGGTGGTGGCGAAGAGTCGTGTGGATATTTGGTAGAGCTTGCACTGCCCCCCCACAAAGTGGGGGTATTGGCTGGCGTCGCATGAAAACCCTGGCACTGGTGAGAACACTGAGCGTTCGGGTAAAGTGATTGTTGTTGTTGTTGTTGTCCTTTGTTGTCGTCGTCCCACCCGCGACCCAACCGCGACCCTCCCCGCGACCCACCTGCGACCCACCCCGCGACCCACCCGCGACCCACCCACGATCCACCCCGCGACCCATCCGCGACCCACCCGCGACCCACCCGCGGCCCACCCGCGACCCGGCCCGCGACGACCCGGCCCGCGACCCGCCGCCGACTCACCTGCGACCCAACCCGTGACCCACACACATTGTTTTAACAAAAAATCGGCGCCTGCGGCGGGCTCGTTTTGCATCTTGAAAAATTATGCGCCTACGGCGAGCTTCTCCAGTGCCTCGCAAACTGCCGACGTACCCGCCGACCCCTCATTCTTATCCGCAACTGCGGAGTGCTACGTAACCTGATTTCCAGCAACCCCGCGTTCGATCTCAACAATTAGGCGCGAACTGCTGGCAGGCCATTTGAAGGCAACTACTCGCTCTTGAAATTGCGCTTGGGCAAGGCCGTCTGCTAAGCCGTTCAAGAGCCGTGCCCGTTTGTGGGTTCTCAGCAGACTTGCGCCTGCAAAGATTTAGATAGCAACGACCTGCAATCAACCAGCGGACAGTTCAGGCTTACTCTATGACGCGCGGCGCCCCCAATTCACAGCCTTCGTGATGTGCCATGTAGCCTCGAGGTTCGAGACGCTTGAGCCAACATCGGATTTCTTAATAAAGTGTGGGGGGTCATACTTTTTGTTGGGGTCTGGTTCGACCTGTCTTGGCGAGAGGGGTATGTTTCGATCTGAATGGTGAGATCTGGGGGGTCACCAATTGGTCCAAGGATGGGGGGTCCGGGGGAAAACAAGAAGGTACCGATACCGCTACTCCCCGGACCTCTCCAGGGTGGCGTTCTGACGAGAATCTCGCAGGGAATCCAGCGGTGGCGACGAGGGCCACCCAGGAAGTCCAGAAAGGAGGAAACGATGGAAGTGCACAGGTCTGTACCTTTTCCTCCTTTGAGGTCTGGCTGAACTTCTGCGGGGGATCTGCCTCGACTTCTGGGCCTCGATCGCTCCGCAGGGGCGCGGCCAGGGGGGCACTCCCTTGATGCAGGTGGTCCCAGACGGGGGAGGCGTCTGGAATGGCTCGTCTGGGAGGCTTGTGATCCTTAGGTGAATATTTTTGGAAGCTCATTCTAACATGTACCCCCTCGGTTTAGTAGCCGTTAGTGGCCTTGAGAAGCCTTTTTGCTTGTGCCTTTTTTCGCAGCCTCTAGTGCCCCTTAGTGGCCATTAAGGGCGCTCGGCAGCCTTCGGCGGTGCAGAAAAATACGTGACCTTCCAAAAAAGACTCACTGACTGGCCCCCCCACGCTTCAATACGGATCAGTGTGGGCAAGACCCGACCGCACCGATGGGCCCCTCCCGACCGCACCGATGGCCCCCTCCCGACCGCACCGATGCCCCCGTTCTCTCTGGCCAATATCCCGACCGCACCGATGGGCCCCCCTCGGGGTCCCAACCCGACCTGCTTCCCGAGGAAAGACGCGCCCCGCCGCGGCGACGCAAAGGGGACCACCACGGGCCGAAGAGGGGAAGAGCACGAGACAGGCGAGCCCAGAATTCAATCGACAAGTCGGATCGGCGATCGAGATGAATCGGATCGGCGGAAATCGGCAGCCGAGTCGGGAACAGTCGAATCGGCGGGCATCGGCAGTTCAGTAGGCCTCCACCGAGAAAAATCGGAAGCCGAATCGGAATGCGAAGCCGAATCGAATCGGAAGCGGAGGCCATCGAGACCAAATCGGGTCGAACCGGAAGAATCGAAACGAGCCCTGCGAGGCCGCCCCCTCCGCGCGCCGCCGAGGTCCAGCGAGTCCGAGTAGAGCCGGAGCACCGACAGCTGGAAGGCGGCGAAGTCCGCGGCCCGCGCGCCCAGGCGCCGCTCGAAGCCGGCCTCTGCCGACGACCCCGAGGCCAAGGAGGCAGAGGGACTTCGCCACGTGGTGCGGAGGTGCCCCCCCCACCGAATCCCCCTCCTCTTACTCTTCTTCCTCCTCTTCCTCCTCTTTCGATCCTCCTCCTCCTGCTCCGCCTCCGATTCGCATCATGTGACGGCCCCAAGTCGCCGGCAAAGGGTGCGGTGACAGACGCGCGCGGCGAGCTCGACCGCGCGGTCGGTCACTTGCCGCGCGGATGTTTGGGACCCACGGGTTGAGCAGGGACCGACCGTCTTGGCATTCCTGTAGGCCTGGTACGATATGTTATTAGCACCAAAAAGCGTACTAAGAACAAGGACAGGGCCACTCTTCCTAGGACATAAGAACCCGATGTGTTCAAACAAGGCAGTCTCAGCAAGAAATATTCTAAGACAACTTCGTGCAAACCACAACGAGCTCTTCGAACATTATTTGGTGCGCTCGTGGGCAAGCCAGGACGCCTCGCCACTGCTAGAATGGAGGCCCCACTCGCCCGAGAAATTCAAAACTGGGAGAGCTACCCAAGTCCCAAAAGCATGCGGGCACCCCGGATACCCACTGACTCACCCGACGGTCACCGCGCTGCTTTGGGACCTCCGGGCCTTGTCCAGCTCCGGCCGCGGCGCTGCCGCGCTGGAGGAGCACAGGCTGAACCCGAGGTCGAAGTGCAAGACCGAGCCCGACGTGCCTGGGAGAACGCCAGCCGTACATTGAGTATGCCTCGTGAGCCAGGTCTAGAGGGTCGGGGCGCAGGGCGCTCGGGAGGCGTGCCACTTCCTTTTCCAATCTGCAATGTCTGTTTGGGATCAACTGGCCGCCATGGGCGACGCGCCGACACCTCCAAAGTTACACCGACGACACGGAAATCAAGTTGTCAGGTTCCTGCGCGCAGCTCAAAAAGAAGTGCATGGGACCTGGCCCAGGAACATACTCAAGCTGTACAGCAACGACACGTGCTCGATCTGTGGCCTTCGATAGGCCTCCTTGTCGCCACGCGGCTCGGCGCGGCTTAGAAAGAAAAGGGACCAGAGTGGGCCCTGGAGCTGTTCGTGCGCATGGCTGAGTCTACTAGCATACTTCGCTACGGCCCGCGGAGGGAGGGCTGCAAACGAGCGAACAAACCACCTCTGCAGACAGTCGTCCAGGCCTGACTGAGACCAGGGGGGGAGGCCATGGCTTCCTGAAGCTGGTGCGCACGGAAAGCACAAACACGCCTCGTGACTGCGAGACCCGAAGGAATGCTGTGACGGAGAGGCGGGAACGCCCGAGAAGGCGGGAGGCTCCTCTGTAGGTGGAGGCTCTCACAAATAGCGGGAGGGCTTCTGTAAAGCCCGTGCGCCGTCCCAAATGTCTAGGACTGAGCCCGACATGCCCACGGCTGGCTCGTGCCGTGTCGGCGTGGGCGGTAGCCCCTGACACCGCCTGAGTCCATCAATCTTGGGCCACCCAGCCACGCCGTCCGACGGGCCACACGCTGCGTTCAATACCGATCACCCGTACACAACTGCTGCTGCTGCTGCTGCTGCTGCTGGCGATTGGCACTGGCCCTGCAAGGGGTAACCTTTGCGGACCCTAGGGAGCAAAACACGCCTGGGAGGGCCGCCGTTGACTCAAGTGGACCTCCTCCAACATCAGACCTGAGGGGGAACGTTAGGGAGGGGGGACAGCTCGGGGGAGGACACATCGCAATGGAATCGGCGATGCATCTCCGGGAGATCGATGACTGCGAATCGAAGATCTGATGACCTGGGTCAATCCAGACCCGGGCCACTCAGGCCTTGCAAGATCCTGCGAGACCCTGCACCCAAGCCCGGGCCGATGCGAGGGAACCTGCAGGATCCGGCAGGATCCTGCACCCAAGCCCGGGTCAGTGCGACCCTGGCCGTGCAGGATCCTGCAAGATCGGGCGCTCTGGCTGACCCCCGTTTGCATTGACCCCCGTCTCGAGGCTCCCGATCCATCTTCCTGAGCCGGTCGCCGGGGTTGGGAAATCTGAAGGTACCGATACCGCTACTCCCCGGACCTCTCCCGGGGTGCGTTCTGAGCAGGATTCCGAGGCGAATCCGGCGGTGGCGACGAGGGCCTCCCAGGAGGCCCAAAAAGAAAAAACGGGCGAGGGGGTAGAAGTATGGGTACCTGGTCCTCCTCTGACCGTTTGCATGGGACCCCGTCTCAAGGCTCCTCGGCCGGGTGAGCCATCAGGCAACCGTCGGAAACGAGTCGGAGGGGGAGGAGCCCCACGAGCCACGGGCGCCATGGCGGAGCCAGGAGCCCCGAGGAGGCCGCGGGCGCGCGACCCGAGGGCGGAGAGCGGCACGGCGGGGTCTGCGCGCTGTCCTCCTCCTTCTCCCTCCTCCCTCCTCCTCCCTCCTCCTCCTCCTCCTCCTCCTCCCTCTCCCTCTCCTCCTCCTCCCCCCCCCTCCTCCTCTTCCTCTTGCTCCTCCTCCTCCTCCTCCTCCTCCTCCTCCTTCTCCTCCTCCCTCCTCCCCCTCCTCCTCCTCCTCCTCCTCCTCCTCCTCCTCCTCCCTCCTCCTCCTCTCCTCTCCTCCGCCCCGCCCCCCCGTCGTGGCCTCCTCGCCTCCAGAAGGCCCCGCAACAAAGACGCGCCACCGCTTTCCCGGCCGCCCCCCCCCCGAGAGACCAGGCGTCAGTCGGGCGTGTCCCCCTACAGGCGGATGTTGTAAGTTTATGTGTATATATAGATATAAACATACTCTTTAACAAAAAACTCAAAATGTATAGACTCCCAAAATGCTCAAACATAGTCAGCAAATCGTCCCCAGACTATGCTTTGCCTATTTTGGGATAGTCCTCCTGTGGAGGGACACGCTCGACTTACAACCAGGCGCCGCTTCGGCCCAGAGACTCGGTGCTTGGCGAACCCCCGGTGTGCCGCTGCCCACGAGCTCCTCGCTGGCGTCGGCTGGCGCATCGGCGTCGAAGGACGCGGCGAATTCCACCTCTGCACGGCTAGGGTAAAGTCGGGCATGTCCTCCTACAGGCTGATTTTGTAGGAAAAATAAAAAATAGTCAAACAATGCCCGACAAGGGCCAACACTAGTCGACGAATCGTCCCCATACTATATTTTGACTATTTTTACATATTCCTCCAGTAGAGGGACACCCCCGACTGAAGGCTAGGGTGACACCCACGCCCAAAGCTACGTTCAACCAATAAGACGAAGCCACGACGAGGATATATCGCATCGGGCGAGGAGAGATCGAGAATCTCTGAGACCCAGCGCCTCAAGAGGATGTCTCGGCCGCCGCGGCCTTCTCCGAGCGCTCTGGAACGCTCTGAGAGCGTTCCGAAGCCCTGGCAACGGATTTGCCCTCGTCCCAGCCACGCCCTGCCCACGCCCACGGCTTCTGGAGTCCGGGCGTCCCGGCGCACTTTCGGGGCAGCGAGCGCGCTGCAGAACAGGGCCCTCCAGGGCCCCGCGAAAGGGCGAGGGTCCAAAAGTCGCAGGCCTAGAGATTGACACCAACACCAAAATCGGCGGTATGCATCTAACGAGGGAAGAAGATCCCGATCTCGGTGATGGTGGTAATAATCTGGCTTCAAAGCGAACGAAATATTGCCACCAACACCGAAATCTAAGGTCTTCGTCCCCATGTGGAGGCAACCCCCTGTGTTGGTGTTGGTGCCCATTTTTAGGCCTCCAAAAAAGGGTACCTTCTGGGCCCGACAGATGCCCCCGCTCACCGCCACCCATTACAAGCGGCGCCCAGCCCGCACGGGGCTCCCTCGGTGCCGGTCTCGGCTCCGGGGAGGCCGTCTGCTGGGCCGAGGGTTGTCGCCCCCCGGTTAATGGTGGACGCCCGAAGTGGTTTCAAGTCGGGCGTGTCCCCCCCTACAGAGGGATTTTCGAAAAGAAATGGAAAAAATGCCCCAAAGATACCCCAAAAAGGTCAAACCATACTCAAATGATAGTCCCCAGACTATTTTTTGGGGAAATGTTTAGGGTATTGTTTGTCCAAAAATGTTTGGGGTATTTTTCGGAAAACTAAGAAATACCCTAAACATTGTCCCAAAAAATAATCTGGGGACTTTTGACCTTTGTGGGGTATCTTTGGGGCATCTTTTCCATTTCTCGTCGAAAATCCCCCTGTAGGGGGACAGGCCCAACTCAACCCAACAAAAAAAGTTGTCCAAGAACCGACAGCAGGCGCTGTTGGGCGGGCGGCGTTCTGTCTGCAACGGACAACGTCCGCCCGTAGGAGGACATGATCATGTTGTTGGACAGCGAGTCCTGTTCAAAATGGACAGGAACTGCTGTTGGGCATCGTACCCATCCCTTCCGTACCCATGTCGATCGTCCTGACTTCAGCGACGCCCACCAACCAACACGGGCTTCCGCGGTGCCGGTTTCGGCTCCGGAAGGGCCGTCCTGCAGAAAAGAAACTCGGCGCAGAGGAGGGCGGCGAGGGCCCCACGGGATCCCCCGCGTCGAACGGACAGAAAGAAGCATCTGGGGTCGACCTAAACGGCGTTGTGGGAACGAAAACGGCCCACGAGATCGCCAAGACACCGGTTGCAGTCGGCCCGCATCAGAAAGACGCACGATAAGGATGCAGGGGCATTGGAGGGCCATGTTGTCGCTTTTCCAGCGGGGCGCGGCCAGCGAAAGATTCTAAGAATGGGCCGACGGGGCAAGGCTGCAAGGGTACACTTGGAAAGGTTGCCCATCCTTGCTATGCGGGTTGGCTCTGCTACCCTCGGCCCCCGTCGCTGTTGCCGTCAGCCTGCCGCAAGCAACCCCGGGGGGGCGCCATCCCTCAACAGGTTCGTGTCGTGGCGACATCGGCCTACGTTTCCCACACCGCGTGGATCGTTCGGCCTTGTACGATCGCGGCATTCCCGTGGCGCAAATCACTCGACATTGTCGGGGAGACGTAAGACTCAGGGTCGGGAGACTCAGGATGGCTTCGCGAGGCCGTCAATGACATGTCTAGACCCAATTTGAAATTGAACGCAAACCCCCGCGGAAGACGCATCCCACAAAACTGGACCGTCAAAATCCACTACGCGCTCGTCAAACTCGTTGACAAACCCGGGCGCCAGCGAACTGGAGCTGACGTTTCCCCGATATTGGCCGACTCTGGGCCACTCGCGGCTTTCAAACTTGAAGTGCCCTCTCTGGATTCGTCGCGAGTGCAAACGCGGTGCGAAGCCACAGTCTCCAGGGAACGTCGATATAAACATGTGGGTTCCGTCCTGGCAGATGGAGGAGGACGTTCCGGGGGGACCAGCTCAAGGGGGGAAACATCTAGAATGAATCGGCGATACACCGCTGATGTACAGTCCGGGCGCGGCCGCAATGAACCCTCGCAAGAAACCCAATCCTGAACAACCGCGCGCGAGGTGCATCTGAGGGGAAACCCAGAGCACCCTGCACGCGGCAGCTTCTGCAACGGCCGCGGGAAGTCACCGCGCAGCGCGCGGAGCTGAGAAACCCAGGATGCCCGGACGAAAATAATTCAGTTTCTGGATGCGAGGAGGAGGAGGAGGGGGAGGAGGGAGAGGAGGAGGAGGAAGAGGAGGAGGAGGAGGAGGACGAGGAGGAGGGGGAGGAGGAGGACGAGGAGGAGGAGGAGGAGGAGAAGGAGGAGGAGGAGGAGGAGGAGGAGGAGGAAGAGGAGGAGGGGGAGGAGGGTGACGAGGAGGAGGAGGAGGAGGAGAGAAGAGGAGGAGGGGGAGGAGGGGGAGGAGGAGGACGAGGAGGAGGAGGAGGAGAAGGAAGAGGAGGAGGAGGAGGAGGAGGGGGAGGAGGAGGAGGAGGAGGAGGAGGAGGAGGAGGAGGAGGAGGAGGAGGAGGAGGAGGAGGAGGGGAGGAGGGAGAGGAGGGGGGAGGATAGAGGGGGGGAGGAGGAGAGGGAGGAGGAGGAGGAGAGGGAAGACGAGGAGGAGGAGGAGGAGGAGGAGGAGGAGGAGGAGGAGGAGAGGAGGAGAAGGAGGAGGAGGAGGAGGAGGAGGAGAGGGAGGAGGGGGGGAGGGGGGAGGGGGAGGAGGGCAAGTTAGGTGCGCTCGCGTCAACATCTGACATCCTACCCCTCCCTCCCATCCCTTACCATGGCGCTGATTTTCTCTATCCGCGGACGCGTGTCGTAGCGGACCTGTGGCTCCGCGCGCGTGTGCGTAGTGGGTGGTGGTGCGCGTGCGTGCGTGCGTGTGTGCGTGGTTGTGGTTGTTGTGGTGGTGGTGTGTATGTGTGTGCGTGTGTGCGCGCGTGCTGTGGTGTGACGTGGTGTGGCGTCTTGGTGGTTTGGTGGTGGGCCAGGTGCGTACGTGCGTGATGGCTGTGGTGGTGGTGGTGGTGGCGGCGGTGGTGGTGTGTGTGTCTGTGTATGTGCGTGTGTGTGTGTGTGTGTGTGTGTGTGTATGTGTGTGTGTGTGTGTGTGCGTGCGTGCGTGTGTGCGTGCGTGCGTGCGTGCGTGCGTGCGTGCGTGCGTGCGTGCGTGCGTGCGTGACTGTGTGTGCGCGCGTGTGATGTGGTGTGACGCGGTGTAGCGTGGTGGTGGTGGGTGGGGTAGTGCGGTGGTGGTGGCGGTGGGCGGTGGTGGTGCGCGTGCGTGCGTGCGTGCGTTGGTGGGTGGAAGTGGCGGTGGGTGTGCGTGCGGCAGGGCGGGGCGTGGTGCGGCGCGGTGGTGGCGGGCGGATGGGCGCGCGAGAAAGAGGCCCGCGCTGGGGCGAGAACGCCGTCCTGAACGACGGAGGCAAAACACCGATCCGAAAATGAGGCCCACGCTGCAGCGGGAGCACGATTCGGAACGATTCGGGAGCTGAAATGAGGCCGGCGCCTCAGCGAGAGCAGCATTTTGAAAAAAAAAAAAATAAAAAAAAAAAATAAAAAAAAAAACGCAAGCGAAAACCCAAGTCCCGGGAATCCTGGGGGGGGTCTACTACTCCCAGGACGCCATCAGGGGAAGAGGGAGAGTAGTATTCATAGTGAGTAATTGTGGAGGACGAGGAGGAAGGGGAGGAGGAGGGGGAGGAGGGGGAGGGGAGGAGGCGGAGGAGGAGGAGGAGGAGGAGGAGGAGGAGGAGGAGGAGGAGGAGGAGGAGGAGGGGGAGGGGGAGGGCCTCCACTGTATCGGCGATAGCCCCCCCCCGCCCAAATGGCATGTCCGCACGCTCCTGGGCAGGGCAGGCCCGCCGAACCCTCCAGGCGTCGCCCCTGGACCTGGCACACGTTGAAGACGAGGGAGCAGGGAAGATGGGGAGGTCCTCCTCCTCCTCCTCCTCCTCCTTCTCCTCCTCCTCCTCTTCCTCCTCCTCCCTCCTCCTCCCTCCCTCCTCCTTCCCTCCCTCCCTCCCTCCTCCTCCTCCTCCTCCCCCCTCCCTCCCTCCCTCTCCTTCCTCCTTCCTCCGCCTCCGCCTCCGTCTCCGCCTCCGCCTCCTCCTCCTCCTCCTCCTCCTTATCCTCCTCCTCCTCCTCCTCCTCCTCCTCCTCCTCCTCCTCCTCCTCCTCCGCCTCCTCCCTCTCCTGCATAGGGTAGTGGTGGCGGAGAATCGGACCATCAGACAGATACGATAGGACCACCGCTGCGGACATCGTCCAGGCCTAGCTAAGACCAGGTGGGCAAGGCCTTGACCACATAAGGCACATGCTGCTACGATACGATACGTTACGACCACCGCTGCGGACATCGTCTGGGCCTGGCTAAGACCGGGTACATGATGGTGGGAACACTAATCGGCAGCGAGCGAGGGGGGGAAGTGAGAAGGAGAAGGCGTTCTCAGAAGACGGCGGGACTTCTCAGAAGCCCTCGCGCCTTCTGAGAAATGTTCAGTACCTTCGGGGAAGGCTTAGAACACTTCTTAGAAGGCCCGGGGACTTCCGAGACTTCTGAGAACGCCCGCTTCGACTCACTCCCCCCCTCGCTCGCCGCCTAACCAAAGGGTACCGAGATACAGCTACTCCCGCGACCTCTCCCAAGGCGCGTCCAATCCAGGACTTC